ACAGGTGCCTGCCACAACACCTGGCTATTTTTTTTTTTTGGTTGCAGCCACCATTGTTTTGGCGGGCCCGGGCTGGATTCGAACCCACCACCTTAGGTGTATGTGACTGGTGCCTTAGCCACTTGAGCCACAGGCGCCGAGCCTTCAGTAGTTCTTTATTACTCACAAAATCCAACTCATCATTCAGGACCTTCTATGTTTTTGTTCTAGCATTTATCCTTAACCCACTCCACTCTTGCTTCTACCCTCACACTTTCTTGGGGCTTCATGTTTAGCAACCAGGTTCATGTTCAAGTCACCACCATGTTACTAAAGCCAGTAGATACAATTTAGTCTGCAGCATTTGATGTAGAGAACTGCTTTTTCCTACAAATATTTTTCCCCCTTGGCTTCTGTTACATTTCTTTTTCCTACTACAATAATGGCTGCTTTTTAGCCTCCTTTACTGTCTATCCTCTTGTATATGATCTTCAAATACAGTGGAACCTCTGTAAGTTGACAACCCCAGGGCCTGTAACTAACTGATCAACATAAGGAACTAGGCCTTCTGTACTGATACATACATGTGGTGCATGCCCAGTCTATGAAAATTAAGTCAACTTTAGAAGGTGGTCAATGTAGGTATATAGTCAGCTATGGAAGTTCTATTGTATTTGAGTTTCTCAGGGATCAATCCTAGTCCAGTTCTTCAGAATTCTGTTTTCTCCCTAGGCCATTTTTTCCCCCTTTCAATGGTAATAGACCATGTGTCTTCTCAGTGTCTTAACAGCCTGCTTACCATTTCTACTTCCTTATATAGGCACCTCAAATTCATCATGTCCTAAACTAAATTAATGATTATGCCTAATCTACCTCCACCTTTTTCTTCTGTAGTGTTACCCATTCTCAATGAATAGCACCACTATCTAGCAGTTTTCATGCCCATAAAAAAAGCATTCTTAGTGCTTTCCTTTCTCTAACTTCTCCATACCCAATCAATTATATATTCTGTCAGCTCCCCCTCCAGAATAAATCTTAATTCCATCCAGTTTATCATCACATTGCCATCCAATGTGTATTGCTGTATTTTTAATCCTTTCGCCACATACAGCCAGTGAGAGTGATACTTATTCTCTTGCCTACTTATTCAGCCTCATTTCATGTCTTTTTCCACCTTGCTCCCTGTAGTTTCATTATTAGCCTTTTCGTTCCTTAAATGTCATCCCTTTGTTCCCCCTTTTTATTTTATTACTCTGCAAGCTGAACTCTTTCTTTATCCCCCCTTCTAACTAACTCATATTTATCCTTTAGATCTCAGTTTAAATGACTTCCTTAACTCCATTTTCTGATTGCCTACCCGGGATGTCTAACCTTTTTTTTTGCTGCTGCAAATTGAAAGAATAAGAATTGCTCTAGGCCATTCATTAAATACATAAACACTAACAAAAGCTGATGAGCAAAGAAAGGTCTGTGCATACTTTTTGCTATATCCAATACCACAGATAAGCAAAACCAGGCCTCAAATAATAAGCATGTAGGCCATGAGCCACAGATTGGATACCTTTGCTTACATTTGCCTGATACACACTCTGGTGATACCTTGTAATTTTCCTTCTAAGCATTTATTATGGCATTTGTAATTATATGATTGTATGTGTTTCCCCAATCAGATTTCTTTTCATTTTTTTATTTTTTTGAAACAAGGCCTCACTTTGTTGCCTAGGATAGAGTGCAGTGTTGTTACCATTGCTCACAACATCAGATTCCTAGGGTTCAAGTATCCTCCTGCCTCAGCCTCCCAAGTAACTGGGACTACAGGCATGTAGCCACATTCAGTTGATTTTTCTGTTTTTTGTAGGGATAGGGACTCACTATGTTGCTCAGGCTGGTTCCAAGCGCCTGGCCTCAAGCTATCCTTTTGCCTCAGCCTCCCAAAGTGCTAAGATTACAGGTACGAGCCACTATGCCTGGCTTAGATTTTAAGGTTCAAAAGATCAGGGACCATATCTGTCTCATTCTCCAGTATAGTCCCCAGTATATAATTTGGTCCCTGGTACATAGTAGTAATTACTGCTCAAGAAACATTACACTATCTTATCTTATTCTCCTAGTACCTCAAAATGCTTATAGCTTTCAAGATGTGCAATATACTGTTACACCTCTCTGATTTTGCATTAGTAATCCTCTAAGCCTCGAATAATATTTCTCTTAATTTCACTCATCTATTAAGGCCTAACTTGAATACTACCTCCTCCATGAAGAATTTCCAGAATTCCACTCTTCTTTTACATTCACGTAATATAGCATTATTTCTTTGTAAGACTTATTTCATTTTGTTGTACTTAACAAGTGTTCTCATGTCTTTCTCCACTAAATGAGAGCTTCTTGAGAGTAAAAGAATATAGCTTATTTATATAGCTTATTTATATTTTTCATGGCATACAGTATGTTGTCATACAGTACGTGTTCAGTTAATGTTGAGGGGTAGGAAAGAGGATATATTCTGTATTATCTATCACCCAATCTCTAATTTCTCCTTGTCTTCCTGGGAGAGTACTCTTTCTCAGCCAGGTAGAAGTGTAGTCTTTTTATACCTAGGTCTTGAGTCCAGGGCCATTGATGGGAAAAGAGTTAAAAGCTCTGGACCTTTATAGTTGACTTATACATTCTTGTTATATACTCACTCCATGATAATTTATCATCTTGATTGGGGTGAGTCTTTATGTTCTCTGAAGCTAATGGGGATATGCGTTTGGTTTTCACCTCAGCAGTAAGGAATATTGTATCTAGTAGTATATGAACTCTTCCCATCTCCTACCTGTTGAGTGTGATTTTTTTTTGGGGGGGGGTGACTCTTATTTAGTGACTCTTGAATAGGATTCTGGTAGGGAAAGAGTATCTTTGAACCTCTAATTGTTTTTCTTTCTGTATCCTGTTTTCTCCCCACCAGCTAATATTACAGGTGCCCAATTCCCTCATCTTGTCTACTGTAGCACTTCATACTTAACCCTCTTTGTTGCAAAATTATCTTTTTTTCTGTGCCTTACTCATTAGCCTTAACCAAAATTCTCATTTCCTGAGTGTCTTATTCCCAGCTTGGTAACAAATTAATTCATATTATTTATTACTGGTAATTTAATTTGGGGGAATTGATAATCTTTTAAAAGATTATTCAGATTAATACAGAGGTGTTAAATATTAACCGTGATATTTTAGGCAATTAGGAATATTTTACCCAGATTCTTTTAATTCTTCCCTTTTTCTGCTTTATCTGTGCACAACACCAACCCTATTCTCTGGTTTTCCATACCAGGATGCATATAATAAGTGAGTTCACTATCACCTATTTTTATTTGCTCTGTTTAACCTGTCAATTACTTTTTCCATTTTGGCATTTTTCCCCTCCCTAGTTTCCATTATGATTTTCAAATTTAACTAACATATTTACTTGTATAGGTAACACATTCAACATCTATTAGAGAGTATACAGTGAAAAGACTCCTATTCACACTTTGTTCTCCAATTCCTTTTCCAGAGGTAGCTAATGTTTCTGTAATCTTGGGTAGTATTCTAGAGATATTTTAGGATATGTAAATAAATATATTTGCCATTATGATTTACTGTCCATGGTGTGATAGCACTGTAGAGTCTAAGCCTTGGAGACAGATTTCTCTTAGGGTTCCCCCAAGCTTGTGCAGTTTTGGGTATTGGAAATATGGTCATGTGGCCGTATTTTTATTTTTGCCACTTTTTTCAGAGAAGACACATGTAGATTGTTTTGAATTCCTTATAAATTCCTTTTTTCCTCTCTAGGAGTCAAAGGTAAACAACGAGAAGTCCCGTACTAAGAGCCCTAAGCCTGCCGAAAGCCCCCAGGCAGCTACTAAGCAGTTGGATCAGCCCACTGCTGCTTATGAGTATTATGACGCTGGCAATCACTGGTGCAAAGACTGTAATACCATCTGTGGGACCATGTTTGACTTCTTCACTCATATGCACAATAAGAAGCACACACAGGTAGGTGTCCTGCTCTCTGTTATTTCTACTCTCATCCTCATTCCCCTCAAACTTCTATATCCCCATCTGCATTACAAAGCTGGAAAATGAAATATTCTCATATGGGAAGGAGCCCCAATCTGAAGAGCGAAGAATTACCAACAAAGGAGACACCGTCCCTAGGTCTCAGTCCAGGGGATCTGCCTGTAACTAAACATCATGATAAGTGTAAGTGAGGCTTCTGCCTCTTTTGATTCCTTGAGTACCTGATTTTTTGTTTCATTTTATCTTTCTAGTACTTGCTCTAACATGTGTTTACCTTTTCCACAGGTGATTTCCGTTTAAACAGTTGGCAGAGAGGGTGGGGGTGGGTAACTGGGGCTTCTGGTCCCCTGGTCTTATGTGTGGGAGAAAAAAAGAGAGAAAAGTGGGTCATTGAGTTTTTAGTGCTGTTGTGTGAGCACCTCTGCCTCTTACAAATAGACACTGGATCCCTACAACAGACCTTGGGCTTCAAAGACCCAGAGTGAGGCCAAGCAAGATGCTATAAAGCGCACTGACAAGATAACTGTTCCAGCGAAAGGTATGTTTCCTCTATGCCCTCTTTGTGGTTTCCCTATGTTCTACCAAGGAAGAGGTGTCCCTAAACTAAGGTGCTAGGAAGCAGCATAGTGTGGGACATAGCCATTTCTTTTAACAAACCTATAAGAATACCTTCTTTTTTTCTTTTTCTTTCTTTTTTTTTTTTTTTTTTTTTTTGAGACAGAGTTCTATTATGTCACCCTTGGTAGAGTGCTGTGGTGTCACAGCTCACAGAAACCTCCAACTCTTAGGCTGAAGCAATTCTTTTGCCTCAGCCTTCCAAGTAGCTGGGACTATAGGTGCCCGCCACCACCCAGCTATTTTTTTTTGTTGTAGTTGTCATTGTTGTTTGGCAGGCCTGGGCCAGGTTTGAACCCACCAGCCACAGTGTATGTGGCCAGTGCCCTAGCTGTTGAGCTACAAATGCCAAGCCAAGAATGCCTTGTGTAAAACAATACATGGGGTCCTGAAGTTATAAAGAGATCTATAAGACAATGATCTCTACCCATATGATCAAAAATAAGACAGATTTTAAACATACATTCTTAAAACTGTAATACCCTTGGTTTACACACCAAAATCTTATTTACTTAAAGTCTAGGTTAAAAAAGGACATTGAGAGATGCAGAATTTAACTGCTTTTCAACTAAGAAGTATAAAATATTTTGAGTCATTGTTAAAGGATAATTTCCATTTAAACAGCTGGGAAGTAGAAAGTTTCTTTGTCTTTAAACTTTGCAAGTTCTTAACTTTCATAAGTAGCCAGAGTTGCTGCTATGTCCTTTTGATTATTATTTTTTTCTGGAGACAGAGTGTCACTTTGTCCCTCTCGGTAGAGTACCATGGCGTCATAGCTTATAGCAACCTCAAACTCTTGGGCTCAAGCAATTCTCTTGTTGCAGCCTCCCGAGTTGCTGGGACTGCAGGCACCCGCCCCAACACCCAGCTATTTTTAGAAACGGGATCTTACTTTTACTCAGGCTGGTCTCAAACCTGTGAGCTTGGGCAATCCACCTGCCTCAGCCTCCCAGAGTGCTAGGATTACAGGTGTGAGCCACTGCATATGGCCATATCTTTTTTGATTTATATAGATTTCCTGAGAAATTATCAACATGAGAGATCCTTATATAAATGGTAATGGTAGTGGTCTGTTCAGGAGTATAATTTTTAAATCTCCTAAGATGCTTTGTACTAATTAGAGTTTGAGGAGAATCAGCAACAGGAATAGATCTAACAAGAAACTTGTGAATTAACTAGTAAGTGTTCCCAAGAGGAGAAAGAATAGAGGTCTAGAGTTCAAGCCTTAGATTGAGAAAACTATACTAATGTGATTCACCTAACTGCTACTCTGACTTCAAAGGGGGTAAGGTCCTAAATACTGTAACCATTTTATTGCAGAGGGGTGATGGGATTTCCTTTAGTTGCTGTTACTCTAGATGGAAACAGCTTATTGCTTTGACTTTTTTTTACTTCTTCTAGGCTCTGAGTTTCTGATTCCTATCACTGGATTTTACTGCCAGCTCTGTGAGGAATTTTTGGGGGATCCAATTTCTGGGGAGCAACACGTGAAGGGTCACCAACATAATGAGAAATATAAGGTTGGTCTTTATAGTAGTCTGTGGAATTTCCACTTTCCTGCAGTAATTCTTTTGACTTTGTCGAACAACTTCAGAGCCAGAAAAAGTCATTGACACTTCCAATCTTATATAACCATGAGGAAGTTCTCCTCAGTCCTAATGAGAGATACTGAACTGATAGAACCACCTATATCCTTGAGGAAGATTATGCTAGAAATTTCTACTACGTGTACTCTTAATAGTGGTGGGCCAAGGTTTTTTCTCTTATAGTATGTTGACCCGTTGTTGAGCCTTTATATTTTCTCTTCCTAGAAATATGTGGATGAAAACCCATTATATGAGGAGCGGCGGAATCTGGACCGTCAAGCTGGCTTGGCTGTGGTCCTAGAGACAGAACGGCGACGGCAGAGTGAGCTAAAGCGCAAACTTAGTGAGAAACCAAAGGAGGAGAAGAAAGAAAAAAAGGCAAAGGTCATGAAAGAAATAAAGGTGGATGACAAGGTCTCTGATGAATTAGAAGACCAACTCTCTGAGGGTAGGAATTCCCCTGAAAAAGTCGAAAATAAAAGGAACATTATCAAACTTCAATTAAAAGAAGAGGTAAAGAAGGAATCACCAACTTCATCTTCTTTTGGGAAATTCAGCTGGAAGAAGCCAGAAAAAGAAGAGGAAAAAAGTTCGGTGGTGGCCCCAAGTATCCCTAAAGAAGAGATCATGGAAAGCAGTAAAGACAAAGAGGATGGCAAAGCTGAAGCTGGAAAGGCAAAACCCATCAAGATCAAGCTCTCCGGGAAAACTGTTGTTGCGCATACCAACCCTTGGATGCCTGTTGTAACAACTTCAACACAGACTAAGATCCGACCTAACCTGCCTATTCCATCCACAGTACTCCGCAAGTCAGGTTCAGCCACAGTGAGCAAACCAGCTCCTCTTAACACCTTTCTGTCCATCAAATCCTCTGGAACAACTGCTAAACCTCTGCCAGTGGTTAAAGAGTCTTCAGCTGATCTTCTCTTACCTCCAGACATCATCTCTAAAGCATTTGGAGGGGAAGAGGTAATTCTGAAAGGGTCTCCAGATGAAAAAATGGTGCTGGCTGAAAAAAATGAGCCATCCCATATACCAGAGCCAATGCTACCACCTCCCCCACCCCCAGCTATACCTCATCCAGCTGCCCCATCTGCTGCACAAGCAAATGTTGTCTTGACTCCAGTAAAATCAAATCCAGTTGTATCTCAGACTCTCAGCCCTGGATTCCAGGGTCCTACCATTTTGAACCCAGTGTTGCCTGCAGCCATCATGGCTTCAGCACATCCAGCTCCCATTCCTTCTGATGAGACAGCTCCTGGGGTGAGTGAGAGTGACCGGGACCAGACCCTGTTCTCTGTGTTAGTACGTCCTCCGCCACCCCTCTCAAGTGTGTTCAGTGAACAAGCAAAAAAATTGGAGAAGCGAAATTCATGCTTAGCCACAGCCAATGCTAAGGACCTATATGACATATTCTATAGTAGTGGTGGAAAGGGGGCCCCTGAGACTAAGCTGAGTGGTGGTCTGTTGGCCAACGGGGAAAACAGCAGCCTCTCTAAACCTGAAAGTTTAGACAACTCTTCGACTTCTACTTTGAACAGCAGTGCATCCCAAGAGAAGTCTCAAGATAGTGGTTTGGCTACTGCTTCTATAGTCAACAACTCTGAAAAGCCCATTGCAAAAACTCTGGTGCCCCTAGGGAAGTGGTCAGTGGTAGAACATATAGACCCAAAAAGCAGAGGCAGCAGCTATGGCTTCTTACAGCCTCTGACAAGGTTATGTCAAAGCAGACCTTATGAAACTCTTACCCCAAAGACAGATACTTTGGCTATGTGGACTTCTAGTTCTTTCCAGAATGACACTAATAGGGATATATCTCCAGAGGAGAAAACTGACCTTGACCTAGGAGAGCCAGGGCCACCTGGTGTAGAAGCAACCCGTCAGCTCTTAGATATACACTGCTATACCAAGAAATCTAAGAAGTTAGTAGAAATCCACCTCATTGAATCTGGTAACCAGCATAAAGAAAGCCAAGAGCTTCAATATTCTGAGGATTTTAGAGAAAGTGAGGTAGACCCACACAGTGAACTAAAAGGAAGGGTAGCAAAACTCTCTGAGGGGGTTATTGAAGAGGGAGCCAGGATCAACACTGGGCCACACAGCATAGAAAATTCTAATCTAAACCATGGGAACAGGTACATGTGGGAAGGAGAAGTAGAACAGCCTAAGTTGCTAATGATTGACAAGGAGGCTGAACAGTCCAAGAAATTGATAACAGGAAGTGAAACTACAAGTAAAGTAGCGATTGAATTGAGTGCACAGGCTCTCTCTTCCACAAAGACAAAACTAGACTCATATCCATCAGAAGCTAGGGCATTACTCTTGAACCCACAAGATATACCTATGAAAATTTCTCCAGAATTGCATCTTCAGACCCCAGTCAGATCTACTGTGTGTTTAACAGATAGTTCACAGGAACAAAGAGTTTCAGCTGGTAGTGAGGAATGCTTAGAAAATTCAGCTCCAGAACCAGCATCTAGAACTTCTAGGTACAGAAGCCTCCAACTCAAGAGAGAAAGATCAAAAGACTTTCAAGGTCAAAAGATCTATGAGCTGACTGTTTGGGATGAGAACAGTAAGAAGCCAAAGACCTGGGAGAGCCCAGAGAAACCAGAAGTAGAAGCTCTGGAGCTACAAGACGTCCATCCAGAATTAACAGTGACAATAGAAAGCAAGGCCTTAGAAGACTTCAAAGCTACAGACTTAAAGGTAGAGGAGCTTGCCACCCTGGATAATCTGAGGAATATGCATGTTGATATCTGTAATACTCAGGTAGATCCAGCACATAGATCACCAGCCACCCTGTCTCAGAAAGTATGTGAAGAAAATTCTGTATCACCTCTAGAGTGTAATCCCTCTATTTGCACTGATTTTGAATCAATCCCATCTTTTTCTGGTTTTCCATTAGATTCTCCCAAAACCTTGGTGCTTAACTTTGAGACGGAGAGTGAACAAAACTCATCTAATCCAAGAAGTAGAATCACTTCTAATATTTCGAAAACTGAATTTCCTCTAGAAAATATTGACCGTGGCTTGGGGGCCCTAGAGGGAATGCATCAGGCCCTTGACCTGTTAGCAGGAGGAATGATGCCTGAGGAAGTAGAAGAAACTTGCCAATTAGAGAAACAAGAGTCACTCAGATTGGAATCAGAAACAGTTAATCCTGCAGGCCTCGGGCCATCTCCTTGCCTTCCAGACCTTGTTGACTTTGTAACACGGACTTCTGGGGTTCAGAAAGAAAAACTGTGTTCTCTACTCTCTGAGCCAGGTGACCCTCCTAAGTATAGTTCCCTGGAGATGGGCCCACTACCACTAGAAATACCTGATGCATCCATCACAGACACAGCACTTCCTCAAGTAGATGAGGACAATGGCAACACTTTGAATTTTGTAAAAAATTCAGCTTCACAGTCTTCTCCAAGGGAACAGGTAGTTGGAGGCAATATGGTCCCTGAGGAAATGGTTGAACGAGAAGCTACAATTGATGCCATCCAGGACCACACAGAATCCAGTGTTTACAAGCAAGAATAAATACCCAGAGTTATTTGTGGATGAATTTAATTGGCTTCTAGAAATCAGACACCCAGATGATTCAGGACTAGTTTACTATCTCACCTGGAATCTACACCAAGAGATGCAGTCAGCTACAGTACATGTTTGTGGAAACTAAAAAATTTACCTCCTTTTTTCCTTTCCCTTTAAGATACCAGACAAATCAATCATAACTTCTATACATATCTGTAAAAAGTGTTTTCTGTTCATTTTTTTGTTTGTTTTGGCCAATTTTGTCATTAAAATCAAATGTCTATTTGCCTCACCTCATAGTGTGCTCCAATTGTATTTTGGCTTTGACTCTGCCATTTCTGGAATGTGGGGGAGGAGGGAGGGAGAGAAGACTTCTCCAATTGCTGTGTTGTATTCCTACCCAATTTCCTGGGCAGCTGATGGATCTCTGGAGAAACACCAGAGAGCTTACTGAAGTGGAAAACTTGAAAGAAGAATTGTTCATCTTTAGGCTTTCATTTGGATGCCTTAACATTGTTTGAAATGTATCATTAGTAATTGTTTTGTTACTGGCTACTCCCCTTATTGGCATGTCAACTCCTGTATGTACCTCCCTTACTCTGTTGCCTTTGCTTGAGATGGTCCTGCTAACTCACAGACCTGTATGGAAATGGCTCAGTAAACATGGAAGAAAACCTGGCAGGCTCACTTTTGGAAGACGACAAATCGGTAAGGCTTAATATTCGTGGCTCAGTTTTGGAAGCAGATATACTTTTGGGGATCACTTTTTTTTTTAAATGGCCTTTTTCATTGTATTGTGATTCCTTAATACTTTGTACTAAATTGTGTTAAATTGTTCAGTGGCCATTTCTGTACTGAAGAGGTAGAATCTCAAATTTGTCTTGGGATCGGACTCATTCCTTGTTCCACAAACCTACTGTATCTTTACCTCCTTCCCTGAGTTATGTCCACCATAGTGTGATGTTTTGAGTTGTACATTTTGTTAAAAAGATTAAAGAATTTATGAGTTGTCTTGGGCAAGTTTAACTTTATTTTTCATGTGTTAATTACTTGGAATAAATGCATTAATCTCATGTTTCTTTCTGGATTTTTGTTTTGAAACCACACACGTTTGAACTCCAAAGGAAAACTAGAATAATGAACCCTGGCTGCCTTACTGTCAACCCACACCCTTTCTTTCACTTGTTAGAGCTACTTTCTTCATGCCAGAATGTTAAATTATATAGTCTATGCCTCAGTGCTGCCAGGATGGGTAGTGAGTAGTCAGCTGGTCTGATATTGGCATTATCCAATTCAAAGCTTTTTATATATCCTTGTGTTGACTTTCCCAAGGATCTTCTGGGAAGTAAGATCCCCTAGGACAATCAGGTTCTTGTTAAAGGTGCTCTTGGGAACCAGAGAACTCAGTCCTCAGATTTTCTAATCTCTGTCCCAGAGTCCTATTCTCCTCCTGCTTCTCAGGGATGATGTGAAATTGCTGGTCATTTTTTCCTAAGATTTTTTTTTTCTGTTTTTTTTTTTTGTGTGCAGAACTGTAGAGTCCTTAGGTTGAGCTTGGGAGGTTATTTAATTTTAGAACCTTGACTAATTTCAGTTTGGAAGTTATTTTGGCCTTTCTTCATCATATTGGGGAAAGGGCACAGATTTGAGCTAGATCCTTGAATATACCTCAGCCATTTGCTTTGCCATGATTTGAGACAAGTACTTCTGTGTTGCAGGGTTGTTTCATTTTTATGTTTTGTTTTGTTTTTTTAGACAGAGCCTCAAGCTATCTCCCTGGGGTAGAGTGCCATGGCATCACAGCTCACAGCAACCTCCAACTCCTGGGCTCAAGCGAGTCTCCTACCTCAGCCTCCCAAGTAGCTGGGACTACAGGCGCCCACCACAACGCCTGGCCATTTTTTGGTTGCAGCCATCATCGTTGTTTGGCGGCCTGGGCTGGGGATTCAAACCCGCCACCTTAGGTGTATGTGGCTGGCACCTTAGCCGCTTGAGCCACAGGTGCCGAGCCCATTTTTATGTTTTTAAAATGAGATCATCATCTCCATCTTAGCACCAAATATGTACAGTGCTAGGCCATCCTGCCTGTGTAATCTTTCTAGGCCTGTTTTTTGGTGTGGTTTTTTTTTTGTTCTTTTTTTTTCTGAAGCCTAAATCCAGTGAACTTTTCTGGCTTAGAAATGATAGATTAGCTCAAAAAGCACCTTTTAGTAAAGTTTAAACCCAGGTGAGCTGAGCTTCAGAGAGATTTGTTTTCCCAGAGAAATTCTCCTTTCCCATTTTTGTAGGTTATCTACAGGAATTCAGTAAAAATAAGAATTTTACGTGCCAATTTATGCTGATTGTCAGGCCTATTCACTTATAAATTCACCTCTCTTTGGGGAGAGACAGGTGGCTTTAGGGAAGAGTGGAGAAATTTGATCATACCCAGGTCCTAATTCTAATGTCACTTCCTCTCAGAGTCATAATCTTACTGTCTAGGTTAGGCAGGGTCGAGGGGGCTGACAAGAGAGGGGCAGCGTCTAGGAAGGGCAGAACTAATACAAGTAGCTGGGGCTGGAGTACTTTGGGCCTAAGCTTTGGTAGCAGCTCTTGTGCTCAGTGGATAACTTCAAGATTTACACCAAATGCATCTACCAATCTGGGGATTTTTCTGGATTAATGCTCACTTCTAAGAGATGAAGGAATGGCATTCTTCTTATCTTCCTTGAACCAGCAGAGGAAGAGTTTTTAGGATTCTGCAGTATAGACAGGCAGTGTTGTTAGCTTCTTTCCCTTTAATCAACAAGATCTAGCTTTGGAGCCCATCAAGAAAGGGCAGAACTCTAACCCATAGCTAGTGCCTAGAGTTAGAGCATATTCATTCACTTTATTCACTGTAACCCAGTACTAAATAAGTGTTCAACTTGTAAGACACAAGCATGTAAGCAGTGGGCTCTGATCTTTATATGTGGCTTGTGTTACAACTTTCGAATTTATACAAACATCAGGACAATTTTTTTTTTTTTTTAGAGACAGTCTCACTTTGTTGCCCTCAGTAGAGTGCCCTGTGAGTGCCCGTCACAGCTCATAGCAACCTCCCAACTCCTGGGCTCAGGCGATTCTCTTGCCTCAGCCCCCCGAGTAGCTGGGACCACAGGCACCCACCACAATCCCTGGCTATTTTTTGTTGCAGTTTGGCTGGACCCGGGCTCTAGCCCACCACCCTTGGTATATGGGGCCAGCACCCTACTCGCTGAGCCACAGGAGCCGCCCCAAGACAAATTTTTATTGGACTCCTTCAACTGTGAAAACAAATTATCAGCAGTTAGATTTGAATTTGGGCAAACACCTAAATTTATTTACCTTGTAGAAATAAGCCCCTAAAAATTCCATTCAGCTTTGTGAATGAATGCCTCCTTATTTATAAGCATCATTCTGTTCACAGCTGTTCACAGGGCACATAATTTGTTTCTGCTGATACTTGCTGAATAATATAGTTGAGTGTTCCCACTTTACCCCAAGCCACTTCATCTCTCTAAAAAGTCAAAAAGTTAATGTTAACTACGCCAGAATATGAGTCCATAATTTATCAGACTACCAGGTTTGGGGACTAAGGAAGAATGGGGTAGCAGGTAGGGTAGATACAGGCATCCCATAGGGATATTAAGTATATTTTTTAAAAATTGAGGGTAAGTTTCAAGAGGAGGTAACCTACGCAGAAGTAAGAGGAGTGGTTTTTAAAAATATATGTGTACATTCCTAAACTTTGGTTCTCCTTACCTCAACAAAGCTTACCTACCAAGCCCAGGATGAGAACCTAAGCAAAGTATTCATTTTTTAACCATTTATGTGAGAGCATGAACAAATGAGAATAGTTTGGGAATGTGAGCACATTTCATGTTTATTTAGAATTTTGTTTTACAGTAATGTTTATGTAATTTTTTTAAAACTATGTAATAACAGTATTTATTGATATACCAAGGAAATCAGAGTTTATAATCAAAATCTTTTCTTAAAAAAATTGCATCTCTCCTGATTTGCCCTCGAGCCATATAAATTTTCAGAAAAAAACATAAATATGTATATTTATGTTGTAGCACTTAACATAGTTGTAATTCTACATGTATGTTTCTTTGATGAATATGTTTCCCCTACCTTTTCCCAATTACATTATAAACTCTCCAAAACAAGAAGTTTGTCTTTACTTACTGTTTTTTTTTTAATCATTGTATTCATGGTGCAATTGCCTAGCACATAGATGGTGCACAATAAAAAATTTCTTGAAAGAATTAATGTGGTAGTATCAGCTGTTTTTATTAACTGATTTTTGTTACTTAGTAATTTATAAATAGATAAATACTGTAAATTGCTGATTGTATTTGCTGGGTGCTTAGCACTGCTGAAGCTCACTGTCTTCTCCGTTCTGTCCTGAGTCTTTGCATACAAATCACTATCAATAGCAGTGAGTGCCCATGAAAGCAGCTGCTGTTTCCCTCATTTCCACAGCATTTTGGAATAGTGATGCTAGGCTAGAAGGGGAATACACTACTCCTGCAGCTCCTAGAAGAGGAACTGAGGATGGGAAAGAACATAAACTAACTTTAGAGGTAGCAGAGAAAGGTTTGGGGGCTGTAATTTTAGGTGGCTCTCTTTTTCCTTCCAGCTAGATTCCATAAGCATGTTGAAGTCAGTTCATCCCCAGATCTCTCTCATTTCACTAAAGGAGTAATTCGGTACTTTATGGCCCCAAATTTTCTTACCATTTCATCAAAACTAAATTGTAACCAAAAAAGTTTGCCTTTGGAAGAGGGAGGAGGGATGGTTTTACTTATTTGTATCTCCTGTTTTGTTTCAACATTCTGACCATGAAAATGCATTTTCTAGAAAAAACTTTTTTTATGCATAAAATGTACACATGCATACACATATACAATATGTAATGTTTTTATCATTAAGGGTCATCTGGTATTGTGTATAGGCTGTATACTTTTATGTATTAAAAAATAATGTTTTTTTTTAAGTTGTGTATCTTATGCTCAGTGCATCCCTGTCTTCTTTCATCTGTTTTTCATCATTTTAAGAAAGTCTTGGTCCTTTTTCCTCAAGACTACCTAAATTCCTCTCTTCCCATCAATGCTGGGCAACATAGCTTCTTCAAGAATCTGTTACCATTATTTCCTCCTCTTTCTCTTTCACTTCCCCTTCTCTTGCCCCACCTCCATTGAGCTGATTGTGCATATCCACTAATGTTGTATAAACACTTCTACATAAAGCGGCATAAATCAAGATACCTGTCTTCACAAAGCTTAATTTAATGCAGTTACAGAAAAGACATCACATAGTGTTTGCTATATGCAAAAGAACAGAAAATAACTCAGATATCTAAATGTCATGATTTAAAACTTTTCAGGCTTTTGTTCATTCTATTTGCCGAAGATCAAGCAAGAAAAGAGTTTTTAGGAAATAAGGGAAGTGAGTATGTTTAAGAGAAGTGAATTAACAGGATGAAAATAGAGGCTAAATTAACGTAATGGGAAAACGAAAGGTAGAGGATGTGGAGAAAAGATAGCAAAGAGATAAAATCAACCATGTTGAGGTATTATTTTCTTTTCATTTCTCTGATATTCTGCCCCTATTAAGGTTTCATCCAGCCTTCCTGTAGCTCACCTACATAAAGATGATTATGATCACATTGTTATTAACTCTCACCTACTTGTTTTTCTTTCTTTTCAGGGGCAATTCCGGAAGTCTTCAGATTTCCAAAAGGAAGGAATACAGCAGACATTTCTGGCCCAGGGAGCAAGGCATAGAAGCCACAGAGACCATGGGAATAATGAACGCCCCTGTGGCCAGTAGGCAATCATTTCAAGGGTCTGACTTCCAGAAGGTGGGTATGGCTGTCAGGAGTTGAATGGGTTGTCATTTTAGCTGCTAGGAAATGGTAAGTGAATGGGGGAAAAAAATATATATATATAATATATATACACACATATATAAATATGCACACACACAACAGTAGAAGAGGAACAAGATGAGAATGGACATGGA